GTGCCTTGGCATGAGATGGAAACCATCCATCTTCCAGTGCGATCCTTGAGCTTTGATCAGGCTCCAGTCTGCCCCCCCCCCCTTTTTGGAGCAGCTGTTCCATCACAGCCCCATCTCTGTTCCAGGGGGGTAGCACTTGGATTCCTAAAATCCCGGGATGCGGTGTAACCTCCTTGCAATACCAAACTGGAAAACTAACTGCTATCTCACCAAGAGGGTGCTGAAGGGCGATGGGGTGGGAGTGGGAGACTGCAAAAAGGCGGCCCATATAGCATTGCCACCTGCGTTGGCGGCACATGGTTTTTTTATTTTCTTTTTTGTTGCTCCAACATTCCACTTCTACTTTGGTATTCTTACTTAGATTTGATAGTTCCATATGGCCATGGACCCGTACAAAAACAGTTTCGGCTAATCCAGTATTCTCATTTTGTTTACGCAGCACCATCAGTGTACACAGGACTTTTTAGTTTAGACAATGCCCATAAAAGGAAAAGGTAAAGGGACCCCTGACCGTTAGGTCCAGCCGTGGACAACTCTGGGGTTGCGGCGCTCATCTCGCTTTATTGGCCGAGGGAGCCGGTGTACAGCTTCCGGGTCCTGTGGCCAGCATGACTAAGCCGCTTCTGGCAAACCAGAGCAGTGCACGGAAACACCGTTTACTTTCCCACCAGAGTGGTACCTATTTATCTACTTGCACTTTGATGTGCTTTTGAACTGCTAGGTTGGCAGGAGCTGGGACTGAACAAGGGGAGCTCACCCCGTCATGGGGATTTGAACCGTCGACCTTCTGATCAGCAAGCCCTAGGCTCTGTGGTTTAACCCACAGCGCCACCCGCGGCCTAGAGAATGCCCATAGAACTAAAGAATTGTAGAGCCATCTAGTCCAACCCCCTGCGATGCAGGAATCTCAGCTAAAGCACCCCTCTGACAGAACCTCTGACAGATGCCTCCAATATAGTCACCAAGTCCTGCTTTCCATCTCTTTTATGTCACCTTCTATATCTTCACAAGGCAGGTCAGGCTGAGAAGTGAGCAAAAACTACGAGAAGTGAGTTTAAAATGTGAAACTGTACACAACCAGCGCTTTTCCTTTCTGTTCATTAAGGTTCCCAAAATGTTTTCTCTTTGGGTTTTCATAGAATCATAGAATACAATTCTATGGGACCCCAAGGGTCATCTAGTCCAACCCCCTGCAATGCAGGAATCTCAGCTGAAGCATCCATGACAGATGGCCACCCAACCTCTGCTTAAAAACCTCCAAGGAAGGAGAGTCTACCACCTCCTTCAGGAGTCTTTCCCACTGTCAAACAGCTCTTACTGTCAGAAGGTTCTTCCTGATGTTGAGTCAGAATTTCCTTTCTTGAATTCATTGATTCAGATCCGAGCCCCTGGAAGAGGTTTATGGTTTACTTGGAAACATGGTCAATAATCACCAGCTAAAAACAAAGAAAGAAAAGCCTGCAAACAAAACTTTTGCCCAAGAACAGGCAATGGAGGAGAGGAAGGACAACATAGAATCATAGTTGGAAGGGACCCCAAGAATCATCTCGTCCAACCCTCTACACTGCAGAAATATTCCCTTACGGGGGACCAAACCTGCAACTTTGGCGTTATAATCAGAATACTCTAACCAGCTGAGCTATCCAGCTGATGGCATAAATAAGCCCTGCTGGATCAGGCCAGCGGACAATCTGGTACAGCATCCTGTTCTCACATTGGCCAGCCAGATGGATTGTGGGGAGCGTGCAAGGGGGACCTTGGAGGCACAACAGCCCTCTCCCCTCCTGCCGTTTCCAGCAAGGGGTATTTAGCGCAAGTGCACTGCCTCCCAGCAGCGGACAGTGACGTGTGGCAGATGGAGGCTAAGACACTCGAATGTAATCCAAAGTGTGCCGTAGTTTGGGGCGAGGGATTGGGATGGAGGCTAAAACCCAGACCGTGGAAGAGGTGGGCTTTGAGGAGGACTCTGAAGAAAGTTGGCATCCCTTAAGTGTGTGTGTGTGTGTCTGTGTGTGTGTGTGGAACCTCTGTCTTTGCAGACTGCAACTCCCATTGTCCCTGACCATGTTTGCTGGTGCTGTTGGGTGTCCAAGAACTTTTAGTTTCCCACCCCTGGCTTAGGTGATCTGGCTGGGAGTCCCAGGCAAGAGAGAGAGAGGGAGAGACGGGAACCATTTCTAGATTTAAGACAAGATTCAGCAATCTGGCGCACTGTGGGGAGTGTTTTGGACGTCCATGTGCTGCATTCCATGGCACTTGTTTTCAGGGCAAAGCATGGGTGGTATGCAAACCACTTCCAGCACGCGCAAGTTTCCTTTCAATAAACGCGGAAGCCCATCAATCATGCCTTTTGATGGGAGATAGATCACTCGGTTGACAGGCCATAAATTCCTCACTTTTGAGAGCGGCGTGACGGTTTCCTGGCACGGCACGTATCTGGCCTCCCCTCCACAAGGCAGAGATGGTATCTCGGTGGCGGAGCGCATGTGCGAGGTGCTTTTTGGGGTTTGCTCCCGCCCACTCTTCGTTGGGACTGCACGTGTCCAACCTGTTCTGTAAGGACCAGGAACAAAACACCCGCCACCATCTCCTCCTTTGTTTATCGTGGCTTGTTTGTTTTGTAAGGCAGGAGTCACTTTAAATCTCGACAAGTGAAAAATTTGTGCAAGCCTTTGCTTGTAGCAAGGGCGGGAAACCGGCGGTTCTCCAGATGTTGTTGGACTACAATTCCCATCATCTGCAGCTAGCCACAGGGGTCAGGGATGATGGGAGATGTGATTCTGTGTTTTGGGTGTGATTCAGAAAAAAACTGGGCTGGTAGTACAATGAGTATTCCCAAAAACTACCACCAGTTAGATGGTGTTTTCTGACTCCCTCCCTCTCTCTCTCTCTCTCTCTCTCTCTCTCTCTCTCTCTCTCTCTCAAATGTGCAAAAGTAATAAAATGATGCTAACTGCTACTCTGTGGGCCTTGGAGACAAGGTAATTAGGACAGGAGCTGCATAAAGTCATAATGTCTAGCTTTGACTCTTGCATTGTGAGCAGGAAGGTCCCAGCCACTTTGGGTGACTGCGATGGAGAAGTTTTGTTCCACAGAAGGGTGCCAAGGGTGCAGCGACAACAAACAAATTTGTCCATTTCACTTCCCATCCAACTCTCATTATTCCAGCCTCAAGTTTGCCCCGTTTCTGCATCAGGTTGCAATTTCATTTTTTAAGCGAAAAGTCCTCGAGAAAACTCAACGGTAGTTTAGCACACTTTACTGCTCATCTACTCATTTCCAAGGCAGTTTTCCCTCGTACACACATTTCTTTGCAAGCAATTTCCCCTACTATATCTATCTATCTATATCTATCTATCTATCTATCTATCTATCTATCTATCTATCTATCTATCATCATCTATCTATCTATCTATCTATCTATCTATCATCTATCTATCATCTATCATCATCTATCTATCTATCTATCTATCTATCTATCTATCTATCTATCTATCATCTATCTATCATCTATCTATCATCTATCTATCATCTATCTATCTATCTATCTATCTATCTATCTATCTATCTATCTATCTATATCTTTCAGCTGATGTTATCAACCTGCTAGTGTTTGGTCCTCCATGTCAAATGCCCATCTTTCTCTTGTCGCGGATGCTGGCAAGCTGCAGAATGGCCTGGCACTACTCGGGGTCAACCGTCTTTGGTTACGGCCCCGACAAAAATCCCAAATGCGCTGTTGTTCATTCTCTCTCTCTGTCTCTCTGTTCACCCCCAAGGCTGAGGCTGGGACTTGGGAGGCTCTTTGGGGAATGCTGACAGGGAGGTTTTGGCTGTTAATCTGCTGCTGGAATGTTGGCCAGACGGTCAAATTCTCCCCCCCCCCCATTTTTTGAAATGGCACGAGTGAGCGGCGCATGGGAAGCTGCCTCCCTGCTCTTCTCTTGCTGGATAAACCTGCTTCAGCCTTCGCCGCCCTAGTCACGGGGAAAGCACTCCTTCTACCAGCACTGTGGTTAATACATGCCAGCACTTCCAAAGTCTGGGAGAAGTGTGTGTGTGGGGGGAGAGCTTTTCCTGCCTCTTCTGCCAGGTCTGCGCAGAAGTGAGGAATGGGAGAGGTCAAAAGGGTGGAGGGAGGGCAGTCATTAGGGTAGACCAAGAGTGTAACACCAGGGAAATCTCCTTCCTGAAGGCAAAACAGCCCTAAAGTTCAGCCGTAACAAGGACCCTTGTTGTCCTGCAATCTTCCCACATCCCGTTCCATCCCAGGGTTAAGTTTTCTCTTTTTAAAAAAATAAGAAATTATCTCTAGGGGCTTGTGTTATGTGTAGGTTTCTGATGCTCTTGTTTCTTCCTCTCCTTCTTCAAGTGTCAGGGCTTAGCTCTGGAACCTGTCAAAGGCAGCAATGCCATGTCCCAGAGCATGCACACAGTGCTATCCGCTGGGCCAACACAGGCAGCATCCCCGTAACTGGGCTGCAGGTGAAAAGTCATTCTGTGGGAGACCCAGTTCCCTGTAATCTATCTGCTGCCTCGTTTTTCCGTGCCAGGGTAGGGGGTGTGCCAAGCTGAAGGTCCTCTTTGCTGTTTTCCAGAAGTGGAATGGTCTCTTTTGGTGTAATTTGACACACGTGTTGCTGTAACACGTTTTATTTTATTTGTAGTTGTTAAATTTGTATACTGCCCTTCCTCTGTAGATCTTGGGGCTGTTCACAGCATAAAAACACAAAATACATAATAAGTGCAAGAACGAAAACAAACCAATAACCCAATGATGTTAATGAGAGTTTTCGGTCTGTTGCTGATCTTAATCTTTTGAATGGTTCTTTTAAACTGTTTTTTTGCCCATAATTTAATTGTGTAACTCCTTGGGTAAAACCTGCTTGTGGTTTTTATTTTTTACTTTTACAATCAAGCAGTATAGAAATAAAACTAATAACTTTGTGCAACAGTGACCTCCAAGTTGTGTGTTTCTCTCTCTCTCTCCCACCCTCTAGAAACTCTGATGGATACGAAGTGGGTGACGTCTGAGCTGGCGTGGACGGCTCATCCCGAGACTGGGGTAAGATGTTCCATTCTCCAAAGGGGCTGGGTTGGAACCAGACGTGGGCAGAAGTATGAGCCACACTGCTTTTGTCTGCCTTTGCTCTGCTGTGTGCGTCTCCGCAACTTAGGTTTAGCTTAATCAATAGAGCGTGAGACTCTTGATCTCATGGTCGTGGGTTCGAATCCCGCACTAGGCAAAATATCCCTGCATTGCAGGGGGTTGGACTAAATGACCCTCGTAGTCCCTTCCTACTCTACAGTTCTGTGATTCGTGGATTCACCTGTTACTCCCAAATATTGATTCAGCCACCCATGTGAATTCCTAGCAGTTGCAATGAGGGTAGCCCAAGAAGGCCACTTAGACCTATAAAAACCATGGAAATCAATCATTTGCAGAATTTGCCTTTTGAGCATCATGCACCAGGGCAGTGCTCATTCACATCAAACCATAGTTAAACAATAACTATGGCTTATGTTGACATGTGAGCACATACTTTTTAAAAAAACAACAACATAAAATGTCATAAGAACTTCTGCTTCAGTCTTACTATAACTCAGATGATTTTTTAAAGCAAAGTTATTAAAAAAACATTTCCTAGAATCATATAATTTTAGAGTTGGAAGGGACCCCGGGGGGTCATCTAGTCCAACCCCCTGCAATGCCAGAATATGCAGGCAAAGGTTTGTGTAGCAGTGACTGGTAAAGGAGGAAGTGGGATAAGTAAGGGGCAGTAGGTTGTGTGTGGGGATGAGCTGTGTCTAGAGCCTGTGAAGGGAAAAGACAGAGGTCACCATAACAGGGAACCAAAAGATTGATTCTTTGGGGAACTGTAGTCATGTGCAGAATAATCATAGGTGAATTCTTAAAGTATGTGCTCCCATATCATGTTAAAAACCATAGTTATTGTTTAACTATGGTGTAACGTGAATGAGCTGTGCCATAGTGCATTCTGCTTAAAAAAAGCTCTGCTTTGCTCTTCCCCTTCTTGCTTCTGGAACAGCAAACCACAACGAACCACAGGTCTTCGCTCATTGTGTCGTCTGAACCTGAGCTCGTGGTTTGTTTTCCCCAAAGATCCCACAAGCAACAAGCCGAAGAACAAACCTTGGCTACAGCTCATGGTTTGTTTGGAAAGAAACAAACCATTAGCCCAGGTTCAAACCAGCACAGCAAGTCGAGTCGTGAGGCTTGTTGTTCCTGATGCAGCCAGGAGTGTGGTAAGAGTGAACCGGGGACATTTGAGTAGCGTTCTCCGGCATGCTGTTGGTTCAGATTAAACTATAGTTACATTAAACCATAGTTTAACGTGTGAACCATGCAGATATTTCTGCAAGCAGTAAAAAAAAAAAAGCCCTCTAATGATTCGATTTTTAAAGGGAGACGGTTTTGTGCCATTAGCCTTGTCCTGCTTCTGCAGAAAATATTGGGTGCGTAGAATTATAAGAAGCCTTGGGGGAGTTTCAGAGACTGATATATGTCAGCTGTCAACATTCTGTCAAACTCTAGCGTGACCAAAGAGCAGGACCCAGAATAGGAATGTTCATAAGGAGCAGACTTAATGAGTGGGGTCACCAGAGCCAAAGAGAGAGTTTAGCCACCCCGGTACACTCTTTTATTTTATCCTATATACAGTGGTACCTCGGTTTACGAACTTAATCCATTCCTGAAGTCCGTTCTTATACCAAATCCATTCTTAAACCGAGGCGTGCTTTCCCTAATGAGGCCTCCCGCTGCCAGTGCCCTTCCACCATTCAGCTTCCGTTCATAGACCGAGGTAAAGTTCACAAACCGGAACACTACTTCCGGTTTTGCGGAGTTCATAAACCGAATAGTTTGTTAACAGGACTGTTCGTAAACCGATGTATCACTGTGGTTGGATGGTCTCTCCATTCAGTTCTATGGGGCAAATTAAACTGCAGCCTCCCCCGTTGCACAGGCTGGCCTAGTCTGCTTTTCCGGGGATTCCCCTCTTGTGTATTTGCACATAAGTGTGTACACACATGCCTGTGTGCAATGCAGTATATGCAGAGATGCACTGCGCCACCATCAGGGTATATACATCTGTAGTAGATGCAGATGCGAGCACACACAAAACACTTGCCATAACCGGAAATTTGCTAGCAAATAATAGAACGGCAACAAAAATGGGCGATCTTGCTTTGCTCCTTTCCTCATAACATCCAAACGTGTCCTGGGGCCACTGACCTCCTGTTTGTTCACCAACCAATATTGATGAATGTTGCTGCTCATTAATAGCATCATTGACTTCATGACCACAACAAAAGCCTGTTGCAAGTTGTTGCAGGCAGACGTTGCGTGACTTCATCTCTTCCCACGGCTTTCCCTTTTGTTTCTGCGCTTTCGTGGGGTTTTCGCTACGACCCATGAGAACTAGAAATTTGATCCCTCCCCCCAAGATATCATCCCCCCACTCCCCCAAGCAATGAAAGCTGTGCATTCGGGGGTGAGGAATGTTCTTCTCTCCAGGCAAGTTTTCAGCAAATCTTCCTCACCCTCCAGCTTCCCCGCCAATTGCATTATGGGGCCAGGGTTTGGGAGCCAGGGATGAGAGCTCTGTTCCAGGCCAAGGTTTGCATTTCCTCCTGGAACATTTTCCGTGGGCTGCATGTCAGAGTTGGGTGTGGCCAGAGGCAAAACTGGGTAAATCAGTGAATTGGGACTCTCTACGGTCAGCTACATTCCAGCCGTGCAAAACCATATTTTTATATTCTAGTACGAAAATGGCACAGATCAACTGCCTAGAGTTACCTGCCTTCACATAGCTTCCAGTTTGGGCTTTGAGATGGAGCCAAGATTGCTAACGGATGATGCCCATGCAGATTTGGTTTTTTAATTTCACCCAAGGCTTGTGTGCTCCTGCCTCTGCAGCTAATCCCACGTGCAACGGGTATTAGTGCCGATTTAACAGGAGAGAGGGGCCTTAGCTCTGCAGTGGGGAGCAGAATTTTGCAAGTAGCACATCCCAGGTTCAGTCCTGGCATCTGCGCTCTGAGGATGTTGCACTTGATGGGCTGGGAAAAGGCTTAAGCTTGGGAGACCTTGGGGGTTTCTCTCTGCCAAATAAGGCAACCCAGGCCTGAAACCAGCTGTTGATGGGGGCAAAGGGGCTCTGTGCCCTGATGTCAAGTGGGCTTGTGGGCTTCCCAGAGGCAACTGGTTGGCCACAGTGGGATTTAGGAACACAGGGGGGGGGCTGCCTTTCACTGAGTCAGATCATTGGTCTAGCTCAGTCTATTCTGATCAGCAGTGGCTCTCCAGGGATTTTGGGTGGAGGTCTTTCCTTGCCATACCTGGAGATGCCAGGGACTGAGCATTGGGACCTCCCACATTCAAATCAAATACCCTACCACTGAGCTACAGTCCTTCCCCATGATTTATGGCAGCAGCCTTTATGTCCTTGCATCCAAACTTTTCAGTAGCAAACAGCTTACGTTTGGAAGAGTCTCAGTGATGTGCCTGGGTGTCCTGGTTTGCTTTGCCCTTCTTAGAGTGGCTTGAATTTTTTGATTTTTATTTTCAAAAATGAGGGGTACTAAAAAGTTGAAGCATGACTCAGGAAATCAAATAGCGTTTTTGGCTAAATTGTTATGATTTCGCTTTGCTTGATAGTTAGAATGTGTGTGAAATTGCACAGAAGTCGTTAAAACTGCCAATACTTGCAGTTATATTATATATTACTATTATTAGTATTTATAATTACTATTATTTAGCATTACCTGACAGTTTCATAAGGTCAAATTAAAATGCTCTGGTTTTAAGCTACCGGACAAGGATAACTGTGACTTTAAGGATGAATGGGAACCTTTCACAAAGTATTTAGAAGACGCAACAAAGCAAACTGGACTCCTTGGCAGGTTTTGAATAAACATCCACATTTTTTTATTTATTTTTTACTGATAATAATTAGCTAAACAGTTGGAGGATTTATACAACTCTGTAACATGCAGAAAATAGCATTATTGGAGAAACCAAAGACTGGAACTAGGGAAGTCGGGGGGTGGGGTGGGGGGATGGGTTTTGTGGGGGAGGGGGAGGAAAAATGGGGGGGGAATAAGGATATGTTTTTGGAAAATATGTTTTGTTATAACTTTGAATAAAAAATAAAAAAAAAATGCTCTGGTTTTCCAAAAGCGGTTAAACTTCTTAATCAGATGTAGACTTGCCAAGCCAAAAGTTATCCAATCACAAAAATAACAGCAGATTTGAATTCCTCACATCCAAAAAACACTTTTTCTAGGAGAAAAAATTGCAAAAAAGTAAGTTTCTCCTCTCCCCCCCCCAAACGACACACCCTACTTAGCCATGCCTCCCCTTTCTCTCATTAAAAATAAATAAATAATAATGGACCGGTGTCATTTAATTTTGTGCAGTGGGAAGAAGTCAGTGGCTACGATGAGGCCATGAACCCCATCCGGACGTATCAGGTGTGCAACGTGCAAGAAATGAACCAGAACAACTGGCTGCGCACCCAGTTCATCGAGCGCCACGACGTCCAGCGTGTCTACGTGGAGCTGAAATTCACGGTGCGCGACTGCAACAGCATCCCCAACATCCCCGGCTCTTGCAAAGAGACCTTCAACCTTTTCTACTACGAGTCGGACACGGACTCTGCCTCTGCCTCCAGCCCCTTCTGGATGGAAAACCCTTACGTCAAAGTGGATACAATTGCCCCCGACGAGAGTTTCTCGAAGCTGGAATCCGGCCGGATGAACACCAAAGTCCGCAGCTTCGGGCCCCTTTCCAAGAATGGCTTCTACTTGGCCTTCCAGGACCTGGGAGCGTGCATGTCGCTCATCTCCGTCCGTGCCTTCTACAAAAAGTGCTCCAGCACCATTGCTGGCTTTGCCGTTTTCCCTGAGACCTTGACTGGAGCGGAGCCGACCTCCTTGGTCATCGCTCCGGGCACCTGCATCCCCAATGCGGTGGAAGTGTCCGTGCCCTTGAAACTCTACTGTAATGGCGACGGGGAGTGGATGGTACCCGTGGGAGCTTGCACCTGTGCTGCTGGGTATGAACCGGCTATGAAGGAGACTCAGTGCCTAGGTAAGTGGTGGCCTCCCTCCTGGCGTTCCTTGGTTGTGTGTGTTGAGGCTGTTGCTTTAGTTCCTGGCTGGTTTGCCCAATATATGCTGCTGGTGTAGACATTTTGGCACTTGAAGGAGAAAATCTTAACTCTCTCTTCCCGCCGCCTCCATCCCCAAGGGTCAAAAAATTAATTAAATTACAGTTTCCGCCAGCTAAACCAGATGTCTCACCTGACTCATGGTAGGGCCGGCTCATTGATAATGGTGTACACCATCACGTCAGTCTTAGCTTTTGTCTTCGTATACAACACTGTGCAAGGAACTTGAGGCTGCAGAACTGGCAACCGTCAATAATAATAATAATAATAATAATAATAATAATAATTTATTATTTATACCCCGCCCATCTGGCTGGGCCTCCCCAGCCACTCTGGGCGGCTTCCAAAAGAATATTAAAGTACTATAATACATCAAACATTAAAAGCTTCCCGAAACAGGGCTGCCTTCAGATGTCTTCTAAAAGCCTGGTAGTTGTTGTTCTCTTTGACATCTGGTACGAGGGTGTTCCACAGGGAAGGCGCCACTACCAAGAAGGCCCTCTGCCTGGTTCCCTGTAGCCTCACTTCTCACAGCGAGGGAACTGCTAGAAGGCCCTCGATGCTGGACCTCAGTGTCCAGGCTGGATGATGTGGGTGGAGACGCTCCTTCAGATATACTGGACCGAGGCCGTTTAGGGCTTTAAAGGTCAGCACCAACACTTTGAATTGTGCTCGGAAACGTACTGGGAGCCAATGTAGGTCTTTCAAGACCGGTGTTATATGGTCTCGGCGGCCGCTCCCAGTCACCAGTCTAGCTGCTGTATTCTGGATTAGTTGTAGTTTCCGGGTCACCTTCAAAGGTAGCCCCACGTAGAGCGCATTGCAGTAGTCCAAGCGGGAGATAACTAGAGCATGCACCACTCTGGCGAGACAGTCCGCAGGCAGATAGGGTCTCAGCCTGCATACCAGATGGAGCTGGTACACAGCTGCCCTGGACACAGATTTGACCTGTGCCTCCATGGACAGCTGTGAGTCCAAAATGACTCCCAGGCTGTGCACCTGGTCCTTCAGGGGCACAGTTACCCCATTCAGGACCAGGGAGTCCTCCACACCTGCCCGCCTCCTGTCCCCCAGAAACAGTACTTCTGTCTTGCCAACAGTGGTCAAGAGTGGGGCAAAGGCAGACTGGTTGGAAGGCAGCAGAGGCAAGAGCCTTTTAAGGTCTCTAGAGTCCGTACTGTTTTTCAGGGCTTTATATGATCAAAAGCAGCACCTTGTCCTCCGCTCTGGAACAATGCCACCATCCCAGGTTCCTGCTCTCTCTTCATGCAACTGACAGCTCACAAATGCCAGAAGTGTGCGCACACACCACCCTCCTTGAGCCTGACCTCCTGACATCTTAGCTTTAAAATTAAAAGGTCTCTGTTTCTGGGTCAGAGCCTGGGCACATTAAAGCCTCTGAGGTTTATACTGGCCTCGTCTCGCTAATACCTTCTGCCATGGCGAATGCCTGGTGGGTGTTTGAAAGTCTAGCAGGTAGCCAGAGATGCTATAGGAAGCAGCTTATCTCTGCTTTCTTCCTTAGCACTCTTTCCCCCAATTCCTCTGGTCATAGAGTGCTTATTTCAGTGTCTGGAGGTTATCTCCCGAAGTGTAAATCCAATTGACTCTGAATCAAACAAAGCCTTGTGGTATTGTCACTGCGAGGCGGTGCTGGGATATTGAGGAGCAGCCGTCCGTGGCTTGGAGGGGTAGCCAGAGAAGCAAAAGAGTGAGCACTGCCTGCTCCCAGCTTCGAGGCTGCGAACCTGGAATCGTAGAACCGTAGAGTTTGAAAAGGGACCCCAGGGGTCTTCTAGTCCAGCCCGCTGCATTGAAGGAGTCGCAGCTAAAGAATCCCTGACAGATGGCCACCCGACCTCTGTTTAGAAACCTCCAAGGAAGGAGAGCCCACCAGTTTCTCAGGTAGACTCGCTCTCAGGAAGTTCTTCCTCGCGTTTAGTCGGAATCTCCTTTCTTGTAAAACCTGTTCTTTTGAAAAACATGTCTGTCTGTAAAACATGGCACCTGCACTAGGACATTGACTCATGCTCTGCTCTGGGGTGTGTGAGTGTGTGTGTGTGTGTGTGTGTGTGTGTGTGTGTGTGTGTTTTAGTGCTTTTGTAGGGAATGCAAAGTATATCATCACGTTAACACTTAATCACAGCTGCAAAAGATCTGGGTACTTGGAGGGCAGGGAAAATGGGGGAAAGGGGGAGAGAGAGAGGAGGTCTCTCCTATTGTGCTGCTCCTTGGCTCAGGCTGCCAGAGTGTGAATTCTGCCAGCTCCAGAGCCCAGCCAACAATGCAAGACACCTTTCTTTGGGAAGTCCCTGAGTGCGTCTGAGTGTTTGCCTCACATTGCTCTGAATTCTTGAACAAGGAGAAGCCGCCTGAGCTGCATCTACCTGCTCTAGAGCTCAGGGCGGTACAAGTGACCACCGCAAAAGGGAAGATCGGTAGGAATCTGCCTTATACTGGCTAGCTCCTGACTGCGGGCACTGGCTGGCAGCAACTGTTCAGGATTTCAGGCCTATGACTTTCCCAGCAGGTACCCAGAGATGCTGGAAAGTTGATCCTGGGACCTCCTGCGGACAAACCAAAAACTCCCTGACCTACAGCCCTTCTCAAAGGGAGGGAGAAGGCTGTCATGCCCAGGAAAGGTCAGCTATGGGCCAGGAGCAATTGCCCCTGGATTTGTAGAGCATAGCCTGCCCTTTGGCAGTATCAAAGTCTCTTTCTGATTCTTTTGGTGGTTGGGAAGGAGAACTAATTCTCCTGTGCCCTGTGTTTTGTTTCAGTCCATTAACTCTCCACTCCCACTTAATCACCTTTAGGGTAATTTTTGGAACAGTGGATGATTACTATTTTGCTTCCGCGAATGGGAAACGGAGGCTGGTTCTGTGTAGTGTCCAAGGCAGCTAAGGGGACTTGTTGTTGACGTGAGAATTAGGCTTAAGCCACTCACAACCTCAGAGGGTTGTTGTTGGGGATCAAATGAGGAGCTGAGCAGGGAGAACCGTGTCTGCTGCCTTGAGCTATTCGGAGAAAAAGGTGGGATAAAAAAATGCAATGAATGAAGAAATTGATCCTGAAAGAGCAGTAGAGTTTAGGCCGTGATCCCACACTCACGTGCCAGGGAGTAAGCCCCACTCAAGTCAATTGGACTTTCTTCTGAGTAGACAGGCTGCGCTCTTCATTGTTCTCCTTCCCCCCTGCAAAAACAAAACAAAACAAGAAAACCCAACCAGGTATTTTATGTCTGTTCTTAACTTGCTCTGACTTCTCCAAGCCTTCAGGAGTGAGCGAACTGGGACTCCTAAATCAATCAGTCAAGAGAACCTGCGTAGGCAAGGGGAGGAGATTCAGGGTGCCTGCAGGGGAGACTGCAGCGACAACAAGAACTGTTGAATATTTGGCACTGGTGGCTGCCAAGATTTACCTCTGGAGGGTTATTCTCAGGGAGAGAGCTTCTGCAAAACCTGAGCTTAGTGGGGTGTGATCCCACCGGGTCATGTCACGTGTAGAGGAGGCGGAGAACCTCAGGCTCAGGGGCCAGATGTGGCCCTCTAGACCTCTCTGTTAGGCCCTTGGAACTCTGCTTAGGCCACACACCCGCCCCAGCCACATCCTCTTTCTCCAGGCCACTCTCCTCACCAGCCTTTGCTCCGTAGCTTAATCTCAGGGTTGTGGGTTCGAGCCCCGTGTTGGCTGAAAGAGACCCGCATTGCAGGGGGTTGGACTAGATGATCCTTGAGGTCCCTCCCAACTCTACAATTCTTTGATTCTAAGATTCACAACCTCCTTGAGTGTTCTTGCCTGGCTGGAATGTGTCTTTGGACTCTAATAGTGACTCGTTTGCCTGATGTTGGGCGTGTGATTTGTGTGTGTGGAAACCAGCCCACTTGAAGGTAATGGCTCTCTTTTCTGTTTGCCCTCCAGAATCTGGTATACATAGGTTTGCTGCATCTGTGTATGGAGGTTCAGTTTAGCTGTCGTGGCCGATAGACGAATTCCCCATGCAGATGTTGTTGTTTGTTCTCCCTCTTTTGGGAATGAATTCCATAAGCGGACCATGTGTTCATCCTCCTAAGTGATTCCACCCCCACCCCCCGTTAGATTTGATACTGTTTGTACAAAACACAGATGGGCAATATCTTGCAGCCATAACGTCATGCAGGTGCCAAGTAAGGTGGGAAATGGGGTGCGAGGCAAGGAGATGGTGGGGTGAGGGTATCCTCACCCACTTCAGACTCCATCCCTGCTTGCTGCTGGTATGAGACCCCTAACATATATTATTAATCCCAAGGCAACGTAGACCTTTGGCAGGGAAAGGGTTGCCCACCCTTGGTGCAAAATATTTGAAACTACAAAGCAAGTTGCTGGTCATGAGATGGGTAAAAGCACCATAATACTAGTTGCTGTGATGTTATTTTTTTACTGGTGAGTAAAAATCTGGCTGGTTTGGTGGCACCACCCACAGCTCTGTGCCGGGGTCTTATCGTTTTTGTCTGATTGATCAAAATAGGCCAAGCTATCTTCCCTATGGTTTCTCTGACCTTTCCTCCTGTTTTCTACCTCCCTGTATCTTAGGGTTCTCCTGGCCCTGCCCCAGGCAGATATTACCACCCATACCAGTATTTGTAAGTTCGGGTCCATGCGTTCTGCCATCTTGCCTTGCTGTGTTCAGCCATTTTGTCGGACAAGGCAAGAAACGATTCTGCAGCAGGCCTTCAGCCCCTTTTGGACGCCTGCTAAAGTTTTGACAGGTGTAGACTTTGCTACGATATCCAGTTCATCATCTAGGCAGGTTCTTGGCGCAGATCCAGTACAAATCTTCATTTGCTACTTTGTGCGCTGGGTAATTTAACAGAAAAAGAAAAAGAGATGCGTGTACATGTGTGTGTGTCTTCTTGTGCCTTTAAAGCTGGAGATCTTCCAT